CGTCTTGCTATTACCAAACATGTGTGGGACACGCAAAGTTAAGTAGCACTTTATGGATGTTTGTGGGAAAGTCATAGTTGAGATGTTGCTTTTGCTCAATGACCTTTTGAAATTCAGTTTCTCCTGTTTAAAACTGTTTGCTGTGCTGTTTGACTGTAGGAGTTCAGCAAGGGCTGCAGCCTGCACAGCTCCTCTCTGTCTAGGTGCAGAGTGCAGGGAAGAAAGCAGCACAGTGCTGCTTTATTCGGGCACAAGAGTGCCTGGGGACACAGTTTTTTGTTAAGTCCCAGGGCAGAAATGAAACATATATATAACACACATAGTCATGCATTTTACACCATGCTAGAAGCTTCTGCCCCTTCCTCCTGCTCTGATTCTCTTAGAGACACCACAAAGGAAAGTCCCTGTCTCTCTCAGACACCATCTTTTGCCATAATTCTCAGTCCTTCTCTACTTTAAGTCCTGGGAGAAGAATTCTCCCTGACCCAGCTTGTCTCCTGTAGCTGCCCTCGGGAAGGTGAGCTCTTTATTGTTTGATCTAGTTTGGCAGATGGATTTAAACAATCTTCAGAAACCTGTGCTAAGTCTAATCTAGCCTGACTTCACTCCTCTTGAACCCTACAAGTCTTTTGCAAATGAGCCTCCTTCATTATCAGTTACCCAAGCTGCATTTTGTATAATTAAAATGCTGAACTGATGAATCTTCTCACTGAGGGCAGAATGGAGCTGGATCCATGGAAAAGTCACTCAGCAGGAAGGAGGCACAGAAATCAACAAACAAGGGAGATGAGGACTACAGAACCCCTGATATGCTCAACACAGATATTAAAACGTGGGTAGGAGGTAATGAGCAATAAGCATCCTGGGCCTCTACATCTTTTAATCTCCAGTTTCCCTTTCTGGCTGAATTCTGAGAGATAACTTGGTAGGCATTCAAGGAAGTGACCTACAACTGTTTCCTCATGTGCAGCACAATAAACAACAGCATCCAATGAACTGAGCATCAAGCTGGCATCACCCAGGTAAAATGACAGTAGAAATTAAACAGCATTAATTAGAGGGAGAACATGGAACCTTTTCTGCCTGTAATGTCACTTCTCTTAGCTGTTAACAGCCTCCCTGGTTTGGCTTATTAAGATCCAAGTAGACAGGAAAGCTGAAGGGAAGAAAGCAGCATTCTCCATTGTGTGCCAAGCCAACTGAGGGAGGACTTTTAAAAGACAGCAAAAGGTTAATGAACTTTTATCCAAGCGCCATTAATACATCTGAAGATCATTCTAACTAGACCACAGACAACACTTTTGCTCTTATTTCACTGCAAGACCAGGTAAGTAATGGATGTAATGGATTAATCAGAGATTAAAAAGGTTTTCCCAGTTTCCAGAAAGCAAAGCAATCCTCCACAACAGTGGACAGTAGTCTTCCTATGTGCTCTCCAGATACCTGAATGTATCCCATGTTAAAATTATCTCCACAACAATTTTCCCCCCAACTTTACTGGCATTTGATATAAACCAGACTGTACTCTGCATTAAAAAAGGAGTTTGATTCTTTGAGGAACAATGAACTCTCATTTCTCACTACAGAAGAGGTCAACCTCTTGCAAAATCACTGGTTCCTTGTATTACTTGGAAGTTGCTCTCCTACACCTTCCATTCTCTGATACACTGGGAAGGGCCAGGAGAAATATCAGATTTTTAGTCAGGACTCAGTTCTGTACTCTGTGATTTAAATTCCTGCCATCTTCTATGACAGAACTACTGAATGGGAACAGTGATATTGCAAAAAAAGCATAGAACAATTAGTTACATTAAAAAGGGTTTCCTTGCCACCCTTTGGCAATCAAGCATGTTTGCAGAAACTCTTTTTTAAGAACTTGTCCTTCCTTTTGTACATATACTTGCCTTTTTTCTATTCTAAACAATTAATGCAATTCCCAACTACTAAACAAGAACCTGTGGACATTTTGGACAGTCAACTTTTTTTCCCATTATGTGTCTACAAAATGCCTAAAATTGACTAGAGTCTTGACTGTTGAACAGAACCACCTATAATTTTTTTTTAATTTAGAAAAATAGCATTTCTATTTTATGAACTTAAAAAAAAATGAACTCCTTCACTTAAAAAATAAGAAAGAAATGTGTCAGCAGATTTCCATAAACTACCAGTATAGCAAAAGCAGATTATTGGGGAAATCACCTACAAGTGAGCTAGAATTACACATTAATAAATTATCCTACATCCACTTTGCAATACCCAAAAGTTCAGATGTTTCTTTGAGTCTTATTTTAGCCACTTGAATCTAAGCTTCTACATAATTTCATATAGTAGCTATACTATGTAAAATGGCTTAGAGAGGAAGATGCCAAAATGGACTAAAAGAAATCACAGTCTTTCCAATAAAAACATTATTCTTGGTCAACATAATTTGCTAAATTAAACCTAAACATATTAATAATTTTGCTCTACCCACAATTGCATTTTTCACTTAATATATTAATTCTCCTTCCAGTTCCTCTCAGCTTTTCTTATATGCCCTACATCTCTACTTTCCCTTAACAGACAATGGCATATCTTTCTTCTATATTTAGAAACATAACCTCCCTTAAAATGATATTCTATGAAAACCTCACTTGGACATGCTGTGATGCTCCATGGACTTGAAAACTGTGCCCCAGAAAGACAGGATGTGACAGCTCCACGATCCCTGAAGATGCTTTAAAGGGCATCCAAGAGATAATCCCTTGCTCTTACCACACAGATGTAAAAAAAAATTACAGCTGGAGGAACAGGGGACTGGATATATGAGAAACTGAGGGCCAGTCAAATCAAGGAGGGTAAAGAGGAAAAAGAAATCCAAGGAGAAAACTTGTGCTGATGGCTCTCTTTTCTTTTTTAGAGAATGCAGAGGAAGGAATATGTGCACACTGACTTGCTCCTGCCTGGTCTTTTCCGGGCTTTACCTATCAGCAAGAAGAGCCAAGATGACATTAATGGCACTCCACCAAAAAGTTCACTTTTGCTCTCAGGAGATGCAAATCCTACAGAGCACCCCCTTTGACTAAGGGCTGCCTGAAAAAGCTGCACAAGAAACTTCACTGGTCAGTTTAAGTGCAGGATATTTGGTGCACAGGTTTAAATGGAAAATCACTTCAGCTTCAGGAGAGCAGGATCTAGCTGAGAAATCTCACAATGCAATACATAAGATAAATTTTATTAATTAAATCAAATTCAATATGTATATTTTTCCATTTTAGGATAAAGAGTATTTCCTAAAATGTCAATAATGGTTAAAAAGAAAAGGCTTGTTGCTTTATTAAACCATCTAAGTTAATTTCTAATGGCTGCTTATTTTAAGAAAGTAAGAATGAGCAGCATCATAAAAATACAGATTCTGTTTCTTATATTTCCTACTCATAAAAAAGGGGAAAAGCAAAATGTGAAAGAACTTAGAGCTAAGGTATTTGGTTTGAGGATCAGTAGAGTATTTAATTTTTCTGTAGGAATAATAATAGTCTTGATTATTATATAAATATATTTTCATGCTAGTTCTCTGGCCAAATGTCTAAATTTAGAATTACTCTTTTTATTCATGACACAGTTTCAATAATAAACATTATGATCAAGCCTAGGTGCATGTTACATTATTAAAATGCCTCCTTTTTGAGCACTTGGTGGAATCATTGTTACTGTTCTGCTATGACTTAGCTAGTCTGCTGATAAAAATGAAGATTTATTTTTATGTGGCTTGAACTACGATTACTGAGTTTTGATGTGCGCTCACCCTTAACTATTAACATTGTGTGTGATGGCAGCTTAAATGTTTTATTTTCAAATGAACAGGCAAAGGGACTGTTATTTCTATAAATACTAACAGGATCATGCCCAAGCACCGGGATTTTTCAGCCTGGAGCAAGAGGAAACCACACATTTTCTGTTTATTTTTGTGGGTTTTACTATTTTAAGTAACATCAAGCTCTGGATTAAGGATATTCTGACATTTCTGGTTAATTTGAAGGAAAAAAAGTCACAATAATTTCTTAGCAAGTTAGGTCAAATTAAGCTAAGTCACTGAGTGATGAAAAATATTCTCTGTGACAAGAATATATATGCCATGTCCTCCTGGATCTCCATCTCCAAGTCTTTTGCAAAGAAGCTCAAAAGGAATACACAGGAAACTGGGAGAATGGGAAAATGGTTGACAGATGGCCTGGTCCTACCAAGATGTACCCAAATCTCCTCATGTGCCACTGGAGTGTGACTGTAGGGACATTTGAGAGCTGTCCCTGTCTCCTTAACTGCGAGCACATGCTGTCAGTGCTATCAGATGCTCTTTTCTGCTCTCTTTTCCCCTGATCTCAGCTTTAACACACACATGAAAGACAGAATAGCAAGGCTCTCGTGCTGCCTTTGGAGCAGTAAAACCTGAGCATCAGCTGTGTGGTTTAGACTCCTGCATTTGTCGATGTTATTTTGTTATGTTTTTTCCTTTGGAGCTGGTTATTTATCTTTTGAAGGTGCAGAAGTGACCAAGTGTCTGGGTTTTTTTCTGAGCAATACCTGGCTACACTCAGTAATAAGCAGTTGATTATTCTCAGGTAACGAAGTATTGCTTGACAATTGTAACTCACTGTCTGAATAGACAAATGCAGATGACTGAGGTTTTACAGAGGTATCAGAACGTCCTTTGAAATGAAAGGCTTTTTTGCAGCCCCAAGTTGTTCCTCTAAATCTCTGCTCAGCTTGAAACAGTTTGACCTCTGCCTCTCATTTCTTTGCAGTAATAAAACCCTCTAATAAATAAAAAGAAAAACAACTGAACCAGGTAAACACACAAAACTTAGGCAAGGAGAAAGCTAATGAACTTAATTGCGATCACTATATACCAGTATTGCCACGGCTTAAAAAAAAAAAAGTATCGATGAAATAACTGAATATTTACATCTTGTACTGGACCCGCTGAAGGCAAATGATGCATTGCAAAGCAAACAGAGGCTGACCTTTGCACGTTTTCCCATCAGGCTGCAGGGTAAATCCAACTGGGCAACTGCAGCGCACCCCTGTCGCGGTATCCTTGCAAGTCCGATCACAGCCTCCGTTATTGACAGCACATGTTTCTGCAGAATGAAAGAGAGAGAGAGAGGGAGAGAGAGGGAGAAAGGGAGTGTAATGAAATGCTCTGGGGGAGGGGAAGGGCACTGTCTCTTTAGGGCAATATTACAACATAATAAAAGCAATGTAAGTTTTAAGGAAGCCAACTGAAGCAAGCTCAAGGTCATCGGGCTCCATGTACTGGTATATCATTTCCACAAGTCATCATTTCTTTTTCCTCCCAAACCAGAGATTTCACTTTGTGTACTTAGTGTTTTTTAACTCTCTTAGACAATAGGATGGGTTATTACATATGAAACAAGTTTAAAAAGGAAAAAAAAAAAGTGATTGCCTTTAAAAGCAGAATCAAACATTCTGTTGTGTGTCAGTCAATGTCTAGCTGAGGTATTTTAAAGTTCACTTTTAAATGATGGTGTAGGCATAATGAAATTTAAAAACAATAGAAAGCAAAGCAGAGTGCTAGACTTGGAACTGAATATTTAAAACCCTTAGTTAAGAAAGAGTTAATGGAAAATGAACTACATATATCACTTTGACAAGAATCTACATGCCCAATCTGTTCTTACTGAACTACAAGCAAAAGGCATCTGGGTTTTGTCCACTTAAAGCTTTTTGCAAATTGAAAGGAGTTTGGAGTGGGTGGGAGGGCATAATTGAGGTCACTGAACCCATTCCAAGCTGTGTCATTGAAATTTCCCAGTGCTTGTAGTATGTAGAAGGGTGGCTGGGCAAACACAGGCAAGAGAAAGTTGCAATACTTCTGAGCTTTTACTACAGTGGGCAGTGACTATTAGGTACCATCAGATTAAAAAAAAAAAAAAAATAAAATCTCCAACTTCATTACAGAGAAAGCAAGAACCCCTCCCTCGCTGCCCTTGTTTTGTGTTACTCATGTATGCACATGCACACACCGGACACATGCATATGCACACATACTCACAAACACATCCATAAAGGAGATAAAAGGCAAGGGAAATGATTAACTTCTCTTTGATCCACAGAATAGAGTGGATGTAAGGATGCCAATTTAGCACGTCAGTTTGAACTGTACATTTTTCTGAAAAGTATTTGCTTCAGAGAATGAGTCCTTTTAATAGTATCTTTTTCAGTTGCTCTGGATTTGATTAAATTAAAATACCCCACTGCCCCCCAAGATTGCCATTATTCTACTGAGCTCACCTCTTTCCCTAAAGAGGCTTTGTCATTACTTACTCAGATTTACAGACTCCTATTGCTGAATATTCACAGCCTGTGTCACAATTGTACCCTGTGGACAGGGTCTGACAATCAGCTATAGGATATGCTAATTGGGAATTGCCTTAGAACAGTACATTGATCAAAAATTATTTACACAGAACAGAACAGGCTTTATTTTTCTATTGACTACTACTAAGAGATTTTTATTTTAAAGTAGCCTGTGCTTTGCCCTCAAGGTGAACTTAGACTGGCCATTTTTAGGGACTTCACTGCTTAAAAAAAAAGTGTAACTGGGTTTTTTTTTTTTTGTGTTTTTTTTTGTTTTGTTTTGTTTTTTTTTTTTTTTTTTTTTTGCACTGGCACAGGCCTTGCTACCAGTTGTGAAATAAGCTCCTGGCACTTAAGAACAAACTGAAACACAGATTTGGGGCACACATGCATTAACAGCATGGGACAGATCTCTGAGCCCATATACATTCACACATGGTCCTCCAGATAGATTTAAATTTTTATGTCTGTTTGCTATGTAATGACATCGTGTAGAAAGAGCTACCAGTATAGAAAAGAATTTGCATGTAACTGCCAGGAAGCACAGCTAACAAAGGGATTGACAATGTTTTCTGGAAAGGCTTTCTGAAAATGGAGCTGAGTCTGCAGCTCCTGATTTTCAGGCAGTTCTTGCTCATCTTGCACGACCTCAACCTAACTCTTTAAGCCATATAGTTCTGATTTTCATCTACTTCTCTGGGAAGCACTATTTTATAGACTTACAAGCTGAAACTTCTGCTTGAAGAATTCTGCAAATGACAATGCTGGCATTTCCATTTGTATGTGAACTTGTGGGTGTCCTCATAGACCAACATATCAAATAATAATTTTACATTTCAGGGAAGGAAAAACACTTCAGGTAATTTAAAATTTTTAACTTGGGCACAGTTTAAGAACAGGAGGGTTTGCCAGGAGTAAAGAGTTAAGGTTGAAACTCAGGAAAAAGCGCTGAAGGTTACGTTTGGCATGGCACTGCAAAGAGCACTAAATCTTCTGTTAGCAGATTAACTCTGGCATATGAAGACTCCTTTATTGCAGTGAGTCAACACAAGATGAACATAAGCAGTAATATTTCTGCTTTCTGGATGACATCCAGTGAAAATGAATAGACACAACAATTTTTTTTCCCCCCATGGCATGGATGACTGGATCTATAGGGTAAGGGTCATTCAATGAACAAGAGTTATTTCTACGTATAAATAGAAGGAATCAAGCCAGCTTTTCTTATTTTCACACAAATTTAGTAAAACAAACCATAAAGGGTAAATACCCTGCAACCTTCCTAGCAACTCTGACTTTCATACATGACAAACTCTTAACAGAATGAAGATCCAAGTGAGCAAGAGGACATGTGACAGTACCTCTCACACTTTGGATAATTGGAGGGATGTACTGATGAAATTCCTTAAACTCAAGGTCGTGAGAAAACATCGGCAAAAGAAAGCAAACATGAATAGCAGAATGTGGGAAAGAGGCTACATCAAAGAGAGGAGCTGAGGGCTACACACAGCACAAACCAAGTGCACGACCACCTGTGTTTCTGAGAGTGGTGATGGCGACTCATCCCTCACCTCAGCACTACCAAAACTCAGCACATATTTGAAACACAAATACAACTTTTAGGCCTCAAGCCAAGAGCAGAATTACTTAAAATTTTAAATTACTTATTTCCATTCTATCATAGTAGAGAAGCAATGGAAAGGAAAGAACGGATGTTAGAAATTGGATCAGGTCTTCACGGTGATGTTGATCCTACAGACCATTTTTGCTGTTTTTTTTTTTTCTCTGTGAAAGACAATCTCAACATTTTAGCCTTTTTTCTTGTTTGTTTCAAACTCCTTTTTTTTTTTCCCTGACAAGGTAGCAAAAAAAGCACTGGAAGACACAACTAAAGCAGTGTCATTTTACTGACATTTAGATTGCTTCTGAATTATGACAAAGCTCATAATCTGAAACAATTAAACCTTACTGTTCATTTAAAGTGATGTTTGAAGCCCCACCTACAAGCCTACTGAATTAATATTAAAAACTCAAGCAGAAACAGGGATCTAAAGAAAAGGACATCTATTTATATAAGGGGGTCTGTATTTTTCCAGTGCAAACTCCTAATTTTGGAACAATCTCTCATAGGTCTGCTCAATGGATCCACAGACAAGAATTATCTAAAATCATGACCAGTGTGCTATGGTTTAATCCATAGGAACTCTTGCTTTAACATTAGTTCACTGCACTATGGGATATGCACTGCTTCTGGATATTAAAATACCCAATTGAAAAGCACAAATTTGAGGTGTTAGTTAGTCCTTCAGCACCAGATCAGGGACATTGACTTAGTTACCAGGTGAAGTTACTCCGGTGCCTGCAATGGTTTAACAGGGAAACAGCAGCTCTTCAGATTCTACTTCTGAAGCTTTTGAACTAAAGCAGTATCTCTACCAGGTGGCAACAAGTCATTTACAGAGTCACACTAGACAGGATTTATTTGGCTTTGAATACTATTAAATGCTTGAAACTCCAAACCTATCTCATGGTTTGAGAATATTTCTGAAAACCTGATTTTCAGCTTCTTCTATGAAACAAGTAAATATTACCATTTAAAAGACAAGCTTCTAATAAATATATGTTTGTTTGGGGGTTATTAAAGTAGCCAATTACTTTACAATGCAAATTTTTGTGACTTCAGTTTATCTCATGAATGAAAGAACATCACATGATTTTAAGGGTATTGGTGAAAATCCGGGAAATCTTAGATTCTTTATTATTCATTGTTGGCTCAATTTGGACTAAGATCCAAACCAGTTTTATAGGAACTGAGATATGGTGTAAAGTATAACAAAATTCCATGGGTCCTTGAGATCAGCAGGGTTACATCTGAGGATCATGCAGTCATCTATGTCTTAACTGGGTCATTCTCTATAATGTTTGATAAATCATGAGGGCAGGTATTGAAACTGGACAAGTTAAACACCAATAAAGGCAAGAGGAGGGGGATCTAGCACCAAGGTGCTTTATTTAGAGATATGGAGAAGCGATTCCCTGATCTTTTCTGTGACCCATTATGGCAGTCTGAAGCCAACAGGATCCAGAAAAACCCTATTGGTATCCAGACTCCTGACCATAACACAGTGACAGGAAAGAGTGGATAACAACTGTAAATGTAAGAGCTGCTCTCAAGAATGTGTCTAAAACATGCAAAGAAGTCTTAATGAAAGAAAAAACGCCAGCTGGAGTGAAAACAAGAGAACTATGTAACATAAGGGAAAATGGGAGAGAGGAGCCACTGAAGTCATCACCTACATTCAAGGCAGCCTTGCAGCATCTGCCTCTTAGGAAAAGCATGAGAGGAACCATGAATGGCACCTTCTTGGTCAGAAAAAATTGCTCTTGGACTAAATTAAATGACTGTTGTGTAGGACTTAGGATTGCCATTTCCTCTTAATCAGAGAGAAAGGCTGGACTGACCTCCTGTCTGAAGGCCTTGTGCAGAGGAAAATGATTTTTTGCAGCAACTGGTAGGCTGCAGATAAAAGGCACAACAGTCCCCCAAAACAAAGAGTATTCTCTAAGTTTGCCAGATTTCTATAAACTGTTTAAATTGACATAATAAGCAATAAGTACAGCTTGGAAGACTTGAAGTAAGTACAGAAAAGAAGACTTGAAGGCGGAAAAATGCTTTTTTCCACTACCTAGTTCCTATGATTGCCCAAATGATAACACTAACCAAAGGGCAAGTTAAAGAAAACTAGGAATTCAAATTGCC